AATGTAAATTATTATTGATAACTAAGGGTTACCCTTCACGGAGAAACAAAAAAAGCGTCATATTAAAATATACTTCTAATTATTCTAAATTGTTGGTTTTCTGGGTAGTTGTCTCGTATGTTCGACATTCGCTTGTCTATAGTGGGTTGGAATGCTTACCTAAAACTTAATCTATATAATAAGAATCAATCTCGAGTTACGCAAAATGGTGCGATGCATTTTAGAACATATATCAGTTATATAAATGTTTAGTGCAGCATTGTCATACGTATTACACTACTTTTATTGAGCGCAGATATGTTAAGGACCACGAGAGTGCTCAGTATTCCGATAGGTTTGATTAGCCTGAATTATGCTTCAAAGCTGCGCATGAGCGAGCGTTGCACCATGATGTTATGTCGAGTATATACACTATACACTCTACTGCAAATTAAGGTCAGCAGTCAATAATCCGCGCACCCCTTAACTTCCTGTGTGTTTTGGCTTCGCGTGCCCTGGGGTGAGGAAGGGTTAAAAGCTCCCACTGGAAAAGGAGCGTCTGTTTATTTTACGTTGCAACTCGCAATAGACTTTAGAAAAGCATTTGGCAATCAGATTACATAGTGGCAAATTGCCTTATTTGTGCGCGTCTCGATAGTTAGCAAACTTCGCAAATACCGGCTTTTGAGATCTGCTGCTTGCACGGAATTCCGCGATCGCGGAAGGGGTTTGCGAGATGTATTCGCGTAATCAATCTTTGCTGATTTGTTTTTCACATGGTGAAAATTATGTAATTTCTATACAGTCTCAAGACACCCGGCCGCACAAAGAACACTCACAAAACGCTGGCTTAATGTTTACAGGTAATATTTTAGGAATCCTGACGGTGATCACTAAGAGGTGTTTATCCATATAAGTTCGTTCGCAAATAGACTTCGACAATTTTCATTCGAAAAAAAAGATACTTAATTCGAATTAAATAAAAATGTTAAACAGCCTACACTCTTAGTAAAAAAAAACTAGTAAAGTAGCAGTAACCGCGGCAGTTACTATTTTTTTTCTCACCGTTACTTGCTTTCGCTAACTATTTTCTACCTCAAACGCTTGAGATAGGTAGCACAAAGTCAGTAAATGCAGCCGTTACTAGCATTTTCGGACCGTTACAAGCATTTTAGTAGCTATTTACTACCCCAAACGCGCGTACAAGATGGCGTTATCTGCTCATCGCCGGCGGCCAGCGTTAGCGACCCATTTACTGTTTCAGAACCCAGAGGCCCCGGACGTATCCGCACACAATCGTAGCATCAAACATTGAAAGGGGGCATGTTTAAGGGTTAGAACTGACTTTATAACGATCGCAACCTCTGTTCCAGCACGTCGTGGAAGCCAGCACTGTCGCGAGCACGCGTCCATCGTTCATGCATGCATTCAGGCCACTGGGACCAAATGCTGAGCCCTTACTTCATTTATTACTAAATTGCGCCCTTACACACCAAGGTGGCGCTAGTCAACGTAAAATTCAAAATCGGTAAAAAAGAAATTGGTAAAAAAGAATATGTTATCGCTGAGGTACACTGTTAGCAAAAATAACACGCCCAGACGTGTAAACCGTTGTCCCATAGCGGACACGTCGAAACGTGTTCGTTTTACACGAGGCCATCTGTGTTTTTCGTCTACACATGAGGTGCTGTGTAAAATTAACACGCTACACCGTGTCTGCCTTCCGCAAAAACGTTTCGACCGTGTTCCTTACGAAACATGGCGGCAAGCGGCCGAGAACAGGCGAGAGACGAGCCCAGCGAGCCGCGCGCGTTTCAGCCGAATTGAAAGCACACAGGGCGCGTTAGTTCTCGTTCGATGTGTTTTATACACAGTAAAGTCTCCAAGCGGCGGACGTAGCTACTTGCAAAGGTACGTACGTGCGTTGTTGGCGGTCGGCGGCGTCGGTAGCTTCAACAAGCCGCTAGACAAAAAAAAACAAAAAAAAAACGAATGTTGAACTTACATGGATAAATAACTTGAGCAAACTATTTAGAATCGGGCAGTAACTTGCGCCACCTATCGAGATTTCTAGCAGCCTGTATTTAAAGAAAAGACGAGTCTGTTAACACTGCGAACGACCACGACTACACAGCAACCCTACATACAACGCAGGCAACACCAGTACGACGTACTACACAGCACCGACATGTACACAAACACAACAACGACACTACGCCCGACACTTCCTAATCGATATCCATTTCTCCCCGCGGCGCATATAAGCTTGACATGTGCGAGTGAGCTCTTTGGTCGCTGACCATTACAGATTTATAGAAGAATACACAAAACACGGCGCAATGGACAGCCGTGTGTTAGAACTGTTTGCATTTAAAAAGTATGGAGGCAAAATCTATAATGTTAGTCCGTTGCAATAAATAACGATATGTTAACAATAAATCTTAAACCGGTCATGAAAAAGTTAAAATTTTTGTTATTTTCTTGCTTGACTAGTGTTATGAGCAGTCCGACTAGCTTGAATCAGATAGGAAAACAAATTATTGGGATTTTGTCATTACGTATACACTCTAAAAAAAGGGAATCAACGCTGACTCCCTTTGAGGGAGTCAAAGTCTGTCCCTGTGGTGGCTCCTTTAAGAGACTCAAATGACTCTAGCGCCCGGTGGAGTCACCAGACGCCCTCTCCGCTAGAGTCCGCTGACTCTCTCAGCTGGTGGTGTCACGTGACGCCATCCCTCTCTAGAGTCAACTGATCCCCTCTCACAAGGAGTCAGTGGATTCTCTCGGTAGAATTATGGCACTCAAGTATTGCAGGAGTCAGGCGACCCTTTCACTAGAATCACGAGACTCCAATATCCAAAGGAATCAGGCTACCCCCCTACGGGAATCACTGGATTCTTTTTCTTCTGGAATCACGTGACTCTCTATCGGGAATTGTTAGATCCCGTTCCCGGTTTCCCACGATTCCCCCGTAGGGAATTACTTGAATCCCTTTTTCCTAGACTCACCTGACTCCTGCACAGGACTCTCTGGATTCTGTCTTCAATGGAATAATTTGCATGCTATAAAGAACCGTAGTGAAATGACGTGATTTTATTTAAAACCACGTGCCCCTCCAAATACACCACACAGGAATGTGGTGGATAGTGGTGGGGGAGCTTTTCATGGAATTACATGAGGTGCAATATCACAGTTTTATTTCATAGACAAAATATTTTTACAATTTCACTCCAACTGCTCACATGGTGTTGACTGCAATGGGCTGCATTGACTGCAATGGGCTGCTTGCAGCCCATTGCAGTCAACAGCATGTGGCTAACAACGAATAGCTGTTGCCGTCTTCATCACAGCTACGGATGGCAGAGACTGCTTCATGTTACACAGGTTTTATAAAAGCAGAAACGTGTTTTTCACGTGTGGGCCATACTCCACGCCCGATACGCGCAAAAGGCCAGCTCGATAGCCTCCGGGATATCCAGAGCTGGAAGCGTGAGGCTCTCAAACGTCATTCTTGCAGCGTCAGAAGTTGTGGGATGATGCCCGCTGTAAGTCACGGCCGGGTAGACTGACGTCTTTGTGGGATCCTGAAAGATAAAAATATATAGTTGAGAGAGCGCTAAACATTGTTGATTAATAAAATGGAGCCATATTACTAAACGTAGCGTTTAAGTCACGATCTAAGGTGATGCCAGAAATGCCATGAGACGTAATAAGACGGTGGTTTGTATGGGTGACTTAAGATTCAGTCGCCACTGCAGTTTGGAAACTTGCCTCTTACTGTAGCCCTTAATACATCCGCATGAAAAAATTAACGTAAAATGAATGTTTTACATGTCGAAATGTATACATGAAAGGAACTATGTGTGACCCTCTTTTATTGGAATGTATAGACGACTTTGGATTAAAGTTCTCAGGAACATAGGGAGATAAAAATTCCCGCTAACTCTTGAAATCGTAAGAGTACAGAAAAATCGAAATAAAGGTACGAAGCACAAGCAATTTTCAAAATTGTAAGAAAACAACATACATGAAAATACAAATAGATTTTTAGCCGCAAGTGCACTTTCAAATCAAGGCTTCTTTATCCTGCAGCGGACATTGGTCGAAGTGATAAAACTTGCGCAAGACGTTCATCCAGCGCGCTAGCAGCTGAATGTGCCTCTATACTTCGTTTCAGCTTCCGTGCGACCGAAGTGGACGGTTCCCACACTGCGCGAGCCAAGCTGCGAGTCGGGAACGCACAGAGCATCGGGCTCGTGCCTGAGCTTTGACTTTGACCAAAACTAAACTGCTTTTTTTTTTTTTTTTTATGGAGCTGACGTTGACGATATTCCGGCATCTTGTACAAGATACCGGGGTACCTTGCAAAATAATTGATAGAAAGGCTGTAAAATGTTCTCTCAAATATATATTTTGGACAGTTTTCGCGAGCGTTTTGTATTTTCTTGAAATTCTGGCGAAGGTGTTTAACCCTTTGAATCAATGGCATTTGGTAGTGAGAAAAGACATACACAGAAGCTGCGCGAACACAAGCGTCAAATCACCTTTTATAACTGGCACCTCACGCTTGCACCGCTTACATTATTTTTATTAGCTGTCCCGGTGTAAATTGATTTGCGACAAATAGGCGGATGGTAGCGCGTCGCGGCTCAGGGCACGTGGAGCGTAAGCTCGCGGCTCGGAATACTGGGTTCAGCCCCAGCCCCCTGGCCTTTTTTATCTGGATGAGCAATGTACCGTCACACGTTTGTATAATTAGTGATCTCTACACCGTGTTAATTCTAAGAAGCCTAGGCTAGCAGTTGTGCTGCACTGACTCAATTTCTCGTCTACTCCGTGAACCACTGTCGCTATAACGTAGACAGACTTCACTATGTATAAACACTCTGTACAAAATAGCTTTGCTTTGCATTGATGTTGAACAATAGAATGCGACAATGAACTGCAGGTTACCTTGGGAGGGATTTTTTTGTAGAGTTTTAAATATAGCATCGAATAAGAAAATTGTAACATATTGCCACTTACGTGGTATATGTGCACAGGTCGTAGTACAGCCACTCGATGATACGATGCCGAAGTGGATCAAGAATGCTGCCCTTGGTCAGGGTAACCAGCCTAGCTCGAATGTCAACAGGACTTCCGGTAGCCGGTGTAATTGCTGTGGTCACCGCCGTCAGGACACCTGACGACGGTGCTACTGGCTCCACGACAGCAGTGCAGGTCCTAGAATAAAACAGAGATTTTCCTTTTTGTTTAAACATGTTGAGTTTCCAAATAAACTGAGGGCAACGCGTGATGCAGTGTCCCAAACTCATTTGTTGCCGCCAAATTGGTAAATTTTAGAGCAGGTGAGAGATCAAAAATTAAAATATATTAGACTCAACCATGCTTCTATTGAATGGTTTACATATTTTACTCTTCAGGATTAGCAGCCCGGGAAAACCGGAGCACTAAATTTCTTTGCAGTCGGTTTTGCTGTAATTTAGAGGCAAACATAAACAGCTCGTCGCCTAGGCAAACATTTCTGAACATAAATTTAAACCAATTTTTGTGGCTAAAATGAGGCATGGGAAGGAAAATATTTATATCTAAACTTTGCACCATTAATATTATTATAATCGGGTTATATTGCTGTTTTCACAGCAAAGATCTCCGACGTCAAATGTTTTGGCGATACGAGTTGAGGGTCTAGTAACTTCAGAAGTGCTTTCGTATCAAGTTGAGACAACCAGTCAAAAACGTTTTTTGATCAAATTTCCGTTTTAAATCTCGGGATGTGCATTAAAAAGAATAAAAACGCCTCGATCTTTCTAAATGTAGTGCTGCTTAGTTTTACATTTATATGGAGGAAATGCGGAGGGATTACAGAATATAAACTAACATAAAACACTTAATTACGCGGAATATTAAAGGAAAAATGAAATTCCTACCTATAACTGTAATATTTTATTAAAAGACATTAATATAAGTTTTAAGCACACTTAGGTGCTCTCAATATATATCAGCAGTTCTAAATTCCATCAACACTTATATCAGGCAGCTTCAGCACATAAATTAGTATATTGGGTGAACTAGCCAAGAAACCAAATTTTCTACATGAAACAACAACAAACTTACTTGTCATTGAAATTCCCCGCTTGAGTCACCATACATTGAGGATAAATGATCTTGGATTTATCATCCAGAATCCTGTTGTCCTCAATGTCCACATACTCGTCGAAGTCTTTGTCCTTAATCTGAATTGAGAAGGGAATTGCATATTGTAAAATAAAAGCTTGAAATTTACCCGGAGTTTGTGCGCAATAGTACATCGCGTTTGCCGAAAGGTCAAAGAAAGTCTGCTGGTTTGAAAATGAATTCCGTTATTTACAACTTCGACAGTAAACTAGAAATATTGGAGCATCTGTGGGGATACCTAAAAGACGCAACTAATGTGTCCTATTGTAAACTACAGTGTGGGCGTTGCCTTAATGTGCATGCCATGGAATTTCAGGATGTCTCTTATACTATGTGCAGAAGTGAACTGAATAGGGCTTACTTTGCCACAAATATTATCCACGTTGGTCTATTTATTTATTTTTTAGTATTCGCTTTGGAGCTATCCCAAAAAATCTATCCTTCACTTCGACGGGTTTCTGCATTATATTTTACATATTGATATCTCGCAAAATATGCAGGATGCGCTCTATTAATCTGTGTTGACTGAAGTTTGTCGAAGCTGTTCCTTGTCTACGATCAGCCACATTTAAGCACGAAAGTGGCAGTAGAAGTAAGAATTAGGCTGACCGCGCTAAAAGCTGGAACCAGGCGTGAAAACAAACAAACGCAATTAAGGTGAGAAACAAACGGTGTAATATCTTCAAACATAATGCGCTCAAGCCTGTCGGCAACTTACCTGCAGAATGGTGTCGTCTCTGATGTCATTGAAATCCGGGTGAGCTTTCAAAACTATCTTTAAATCAGCGAGCTTCAAGCTTCCGGGAACTAGAACCTTTTTAGCAGACAGGCGACAGAAAGTCAGGCACGTGATTGTCTCGTCAGCTAACATTTTTCCGTTTACAAGAGCAAAATGTGAAGCCACCAGACCAAGAGTTTAAGACTGCCGCCAGAGCAACGTGTCGGAGAAGCGAGACGCTGTCCCTGCAAGCAATGCTTCTTCTTTGGTAGATACTGGTCGTGGTTCGTTCCTACGGTTTGGCCCTTCTAATTAGTCTTCCTCCTTACACAAACAACCGCTCTCTCCCTTTAGAGGGGGGAAAAGAAGCTTCCAAGATGGTAAACGAAGCCGTATGCGTGGCTCTCAGAGGATGTGGCTAGAACGCTGGAGCGCCTGTCCCCATTCCCGTTCGCACCCCGTAAAAAAAAAAAAAGAAAAAAAAATATAAATGTATACCCTTGCTTCTCGCAGGGCCAGACCTCTTGGGAGAACTAACAGAGGCAAGGACAAAAAGGGACTTTTTCAGCAGATCTTGGCTCGTGTTTTGCTTTTGCATGGCTCTTTTTTTAAGGGGAGGGGGAGGGGAAGGGGTCACTGCGTGACCTTAGTCTTTAGAACGTACGAGCACACGTGCATCCATAGGCAATGGACAAACTGTGGGACAGATGTATGCATCAAGATGGGTGCCTCAGACCACCCTGAACACGCTCTTTGGCCGGTAGTACGTTACGAATTGAAGCAGTTTGATCTTCGTAGACGGAGCACAGTTTGCAATCAGGCAATTACAGTTCAAATTGTTTGCACGTTCAGCAACACCAGCCTGAAGGAAGGGGAGCGTGGCAGTAAAAGGCGGCTTCCGACAGATTCCAAAAACATGCTCCCGAGCGCTTCGGGCACCGGCGAGTGACAAAAGGAACCCCCGCCCCTCGCTCTTCCCTAAATGGACGAAGGAAGGCGGAGGGGGACATTATTGTGACGCTTCCCGCGTTGTACACAGATGTTTCGGACTATTTCTGCAAAACGAAAAGAACGAGTGTGAGCCGGCCGGCTGTAAAGGTGCGTTTATACTCCAACGTCGGCGAACCTAATGTTCGCCGGCGCAAAACTATGTTCGTCGTCCACTTCGCCACGCTGCGTCACTCTGCGGAAGGAATTGTCAACAGTGTCTATAGTCCGGCGCAGTCTAGCGTGCCTCGACGCGCTCGTCCTTGCTACGCATGCGCGTCGTCATGGCAACCAGGGCAATCGCGTTACCATTTCCGGTTCCTCGTTTTGTCGCCGTTCGAAGCGAGCCCGCGAGTCCTTGTTCCTCTTGTTTAGATCTGCTGTCAACATGAACGTAGACGCTCAAACAAAGAAAAAAGAAAATAGCAGCTGTGCTCCTGTGGCGTCGAATACAGCGCCGGAGGAGGCGTACGATGTATGTGCGCGACATCTTCGACAAGCGGGGTTGGGAAGAGGGATCACAGAGCGGGAAGCCCAAATGCTGAAAGCTTATGTATGTGCGTGTATGTTTTTGTAGGGTTCGGTGTGTGTGTGCAGAAAATACTCTTCCAGAACACTAGCGGCGGCGTTCCTTTTCATCACCGGCGCCGCCACCACCGTACCATCGCTTCCCCCCCTCAACACGCAGACATACGCGCCTACACAATACCCACCCTCGCCGTCGTAAACCATCTGTATGAACGAGTGCGTGCATCCCCAATATGGGTAAAGGGATTCCCCCGAGGGGTGCTTTTCCTAAACTATTTCTCGCAAACCACCGCAAAAGACGGGGACTTTTTTCTTTCTTTTTTTTCAGTCGTACGCATTGGGAGTGGGCAATTTAAAACTCTGTCCGTCTTTTGTCCAAACCCGTCGCAACGTTTTCATTCTTTTTAAACTTTGTCACATGGTGTTGTTTACTGCTGCTTGTCAGTTTTGTTTTCCGCCCTTCCGCGCGGGTTTAGTCGTCCGACTAAAAATAGCAGCAAAAATAATATAAAAGATGCTTAGAGCATTGATTATCGGTTCCGTAATAAACATATATGTAGCAGTGACAAGCGAGCTGCCATGCCGCGCATTTCGTGGGCTATTCATACTGGGCCAAAATAAAGCGGGCCTCAGCGGGCCGGTGAAAATGAGTGCCGGGCCGGGCCGGGCCGGGCCGGCTGTCTGAAATATATAGCGGACCGCGGGCTGGTCCGCACCCAAGAGACAGCGGGCCGGGCTGAGACGGGCTTCTAAATATCGGCCCGTACAGACCTCTCGTACTCACAACTTCACTCGCGTAAGATAAGATATAATTTAATTCATTTCGGCGAGTTCTACAGGCGGAGGAGACATGGACATGCAAAGTGTCAACTTATCGCTCTTCATGCCGCAGATTGTGGTCACCGGACGCCCATCCGTTCTCCTTCCTGAGCTTGTCCCGGTAATCAATGCAGCCAAGATCGTAAAGGCTAGGGCGACTTCTGACTGCGTCAATAAGACGCTCGGCATCACTTGTTGGCAAGTCCGTTTCGCTACCGCTCTGGCTCATCTGGCTACCGCCGTGCGCCATTTTGATTTCTCCCTACCCGTCGCTCGAGCAAAGGTTTCTGGGTAACGACCGTCGCCAGCCGACGCCGAGATTCGAGCAGGGCCTACCTCGGCGAAACCTTCGCCGACGGTCGCCGAGGCGCGCTACGTTGCGTTAAGTTCGACTGTCGTCGGAGTATAGACGCTCCCTTTGCAGCAACGTAACGCAACGAGGTCGGGCGCGTGCGCCCGTCGACGTTACGTTGGAGTATAAACGCACCTTAAGGGTGCCGTAAAGCCGACCGAAAAAGGAACAAAGGAAACAAAGACTGCGGGGAGGCCCTCGCTACGACTATAAGCCCCAATAGCAGTAAAAAAGAGTATCACGTGACCCGCCCGTTGGGCGCGGCGACACGTGCAGCTTGGGGTCACGTGATGCTCACTCGACGCTTGATTGGCTTGGACGTCTCGTAGCATCCACGCCGGTCTGTTCCTTGGATGGAGCCTTAGCGCTTTTAACGTCATCCCCCTTTCACAGCCTGTTACCTCTTTTCCTTTGCATGTTTCTTTTTTCTTTTTACGTTTGAATATTTGGTGTATACTGTTTTTAAAAGGTCGATGCCGTCCCCTTTGATGCCTTGTACATATGTCACCCGGTGACGTGCATAATTAGAAAAGAAAACCTGCACTGCCTACACGAAATCGGTAAGGTGGAGGCTGTTAACGCATCAAGGTGAGCGTGATGATGAAGGAAAGGGATTCGGGAAAAACTGTCTTTGCTGCGGTGACGTGAAGACCGTCGGCCGCGTCGGGCGCAACTCACGCTGTAGCAATGCGCGTCTCAAGGTAGTGAGCGCGGTGAGTCAAGGTGTGGCCTCTTTATGACGCAGAGACCGTAACAGTACACAGCGCCAGAAGATGGAGGAACAGCGTGTGCACTTCCATTGCCCAAGATGAGAGTTCTTCGCAGCGAGATTTCTTACAGCTCTTCCTCCTTTTGCGGGATGTCCTCAGCTGCGAGGGGGGCTTAAGGTGCTTTGCAACATCGATGGGTGCCCAAAAATGTACGCAAGTGTTGATTCCTACAAGAAACATGTTTATCGGAACCACAGGCACGTTATAGGGGATGTGGAAACAACACTGCCGGAGGAGGCACCTGATCATTTGAATGAACCAAACCCTGATGAAGTCATGCGCCACGAAAGAGGAAACGAATCTTTCGGGATGTGGTGGTACAAATATGCACAACCTGTTTTTAGGCGGTCCAGAATTTTAACGGGAGGAAACTTGCGTTAGGACACTTTTAATTTTGCAATGAGCCTGCTTGACATGGCGGACACTAGGAACGAGCTTGTTTGTGCAAATAAGCGGATAATTATCATACAGTTCTTAATTAACATTTTAATTAGTAACAGTAGACATATATTTCTAAGCGAAAAATTGCTTGGCATCATCAAAAACCAGTAAATCCGTAAATTTCATAAATATCTAGGGCATCTATGTAGCGTAATGCTGTGCGCAAGCTGTTACTTGTGGAACGGGCGGAACGCTGGTGGAGCTATAAAAAGGGGGTGATGACAAACTTAAAAAAAGCGTTGGCGTGCCGCTTTTTGACATATTTACGGGACCCAGAAAGCGACGCACATGCATCCAATCTTTCTAGAATTTACAGACTTCGTAGTTTTCGATTATTCCAAGCAACATTCTAATTAGAACTATATGCATATCGTGACTAATTAGACATACGGTCGAATCTCGTTAATTCAAACTCGAGGGGTACTGAAAATTTGTTTGAATAAAGCAAAGTTTGAATTACCTGGAGTTTCCTCCCATGAAGACGCATAGGATGGGACCTGCATGCTAGTTTGAATTATCTGCAAGTTTTAATTAAGAAATTTTAAATTAATGAGATTCGACTGCATATCTTAATTTTCCGCCTAATTGCACGAGTAACCTCGTTCGTAGAGGCCTTCAAGAGAAATAAACTAATGGGAACATTAAAGTCTCCTAACGCAAGTTTTCTTTACTGAGAATGCTGGATCTTTAAAAACCACCCATACATCGCGTTATGCAATGCCATGTTAGAGATGAGTTAATGTATTACTGCTGATGGCAGCGAGCTGCTATCTGAGTAAGAAGATAGTATAGTTAACTAATCTCTAATTCCTCATTTCTTACTTTAAAGGGGCACTAAGAGGGTTCTGCAAACCGTCTTTACATGGTCACAACTAATTCTGTGGGCCCTAAGCATCCTGAAAATCCAAAAATTACCGTCATGAGCCGCCTTTTTCTCTAATAAAAATATGATCAAAAACATTTTTTTTTGCGAATATTGCAGTATTCGAGCCATTGCCGAACATGGCCGAACGACGAACGGCACACGTCGGCCAACCGCGAGCAATGGTTTGCTGCGTGGAGTGTTCCGCACGCGCGCTGCCTCTCGGATCGTTTTAGCTCCTTCCACAGTTGTTGCCTCAGCTGCGCCGTCGTAAATACCTAATGTCGAATCGTGGGTGTTGGAAATACTACAAAACGTAATCGCGTCCCAGAGATGATAACAAATCGCAGAATGTATGTTATGTGAACATGTGATCGAAGCAAAAAAGGATTTC